CCACGTCATAACCTGCCCACTTCGTTGCTTCTTCCAGCCTGGACCAACGTCTGCGAATAGTGCATGGTATGGCAGACGGTGATCAGGCATTCGTAGGACGTGCCCTAGCCATCTTAGACGATGCTGTGAAATTATTTTGCCCAGAGGAAGACTATCAGGTCCCAGCACCCGTCGTCTGACTCAACCGAGTGAGCTCTGCGAGTTTACTATAAAACTCGTCCTTTTGTCCGTCAGAACTGCAGTTGGTCGGTGCCTACGCTGAAATGACGAATAAACACCTTTTGGTGTAGCTTCCCTTTCGGACGCCGATAGACTCTTGGAGACGCATCGCACATAAACGGCAGTTGACGGAGTCCAATCGAGTAGTGCTGCTTCGGCTGTATTATTCAGTACAATGCTCACACCACGCTGGCCTATTAAACGGGCTTCGTGATCACCTGACGTGCGGAAGAAGAACCTCGAAGATAACCCCGGTGCACTTAAGCGGCATATAGTACTAGGATCCTGGATTCGAGTCTCCGACACGCAGCACACATCAATCCCTAAAGAGTCCATTGTACGCGCCAGACAAGCTTGTTGACCTACCTGCACCAGGGTCCTCACGTTGAAGGCCCCCAGATTCAGTGATTGACGAGGCTTTAGAATCTGCAATTCGTTTCGTGATACATTACTTACAGTGCTATTTGGCAACGACCTTAGGCGGGCGACATCCAAGTTGCTTGAGGGAGTATTACAAGTCGGAAGAAGGGGAAATGGAGAGGGCTGGATGCGGAAGACAAAGAATTAAGCAAAGGTTGGAATATCTGAGCAGTAGCCCACTTATCACTACCTACCCTGGTCGATGCACTGGGCAGCGCGATCCTGATTATCCTTTGCGACGACCGATGCAGTATGAAAGTATTTTTTCTTTGTGTATGCATTTGAGTTTGATGGATGGGTACTGCTAAGGTGTCCAGACACCAAGCAGGAGAACGATTAGGGTTCTCGTCCAAAGCCTTTAGTTCTGACAAGAATCTGATCGCAAGGCGGCGGGTGAAGCGGACTAGAGGCCCACCTTTGGATCAATTACTATCCTACTATTTTACCGACTGAGAAGCTAACTCGAGTCGAACCCCCAACCTAGAGGACCAGGCGGCTGGACTTCGTCTGACCTCTATCCACTGACCTTCCAGGAATGATTAGATCTGCGGCTTGACAAAAGCCATCCCGTATAGCTCGTTGGGTCAGAGGTGCACAAACCATCACACCACTCCAAGGTGCAGTCTCGTCGTGATGGACGGTTGATCACCGGAGTAGCCATTTCTTTTTCGTTCATGTCTTATCACAAACTGTGGCAGAATGAACATGGCAGTAGCCACGAGCTAAACAGTCATCAGAAAAGACGACTCAGTTCTGGGAACTGGTCATCTAAGCTCCGTCACTTCGATTAGTGCCCGGCGTAATATGATAGGCTTAGTGTGGCACCGGACAACGACGAATTTGCCTACCACCTCTGGGCCCGGAGCGTTCCTGTGGAAGCGGATATTACCCTACGCCGCAGTGAAGGAAGATAACATGTGGTGCTCTCATGTAGAGATTTCAGACGGACAAATATTACTTCTCACAACAACTAAATCGTACGGAAATACATCGAGGTTATTGCCTATTGCATAATGGATGAAAGAGAGGCAAAGGGTAAAATATCTGTGTGCATCCGTTCGAGAGACATGTGTGCACTAAAATGTATGCGGCCGAGAGAGAGAAAAAAATCATCCGCCCACCAACTTACTTGCTCAAATCCTTTCAATCCGCCTTCTTTTCCAATCGCATTAAGCTCAGTCAAGAGCATATGACGTACACGTTCCTCCCGGCACAAGTCCTCGTCCGATAGATTTTCCAAATCTAAAGAACGTAAACCGGTCGCAATCCGATCGCTGCCACTGGCGTGAACGGCTAGAAACTTGCGCAACTCAACGAAATTGGGCTCCACAACAGCAACAACAAACGTCTCGAGAGAATCGCCGTCAACGAACACATTATTCACCAGTACCGAGGATGCGTACAGATCTTCCACTTTGTTTGGTGCGACATATTCGCCCTGGGCCAACTTAAAGAAACTTTTCCGGCGATCAATCAGTTTCAGTGAACCTTCCTATTGGATTGGGAGGGAACAGTAATGACGATGAAGATCGAGCGTACTTGGGTATTTCGTTGTGCACAAAATGCGAACAGAACAAAGGGTTCCAAAGCCTCCACGTCAATTAATTTAGGTATACTACTTACTGGTGTGATCGTGTGCGAAAGTACTAATCAGAAGATTGGATGCTGCACACGTAGCCGAAACGTATCACTTGGTCAATCTATTTATACAATCAACGGGTTGCAATCACAAGAGATCAGAGGTAACCTGCTATCCACAGCGGAGGTGATTACGACTCGACTTCCCACCCCCAAGGGGTGTTAAAAAACTTAATCTCAAATTGCCGTGGTCATTCGTCGCCAACCCTTGGTTAAATAGCAAGAATACTGAAGAACTATTAATGACCAAGATCACAACACTGATTACTTGACTGTCGCTTACCTGTGTGAACTCACATCTTATACTTTCCCCACGTCCTCATGATTTGTTTCCCATTCCCGGAACCATTTGGAATTTGACCGATTTAACTGTGCTGCACTCGATTGGTCAATGAAGCAAGACAAATGAGCTTACTTGCCACTTTAGTTTCTCATCGGATCACTGGGTGTAATCGCTCGTCTACTACTATTATCATTGTAATCACTATTACCGATAATAGTATATCCCATATCAGTCTGGTTTCAGATTGTGTACCAAGCCAACCCACAATGCGAAAAGGTTTAGGACATGACTATTGGTCTCCGATTTGCGTGTGGTCACAAGTGTTCCGCATTGGTAGAATCAAAGCGAGCGAATTTTCTCCGCGGGCTCACAATCGGGTAGCCAAAGAGTTAACCTCGAGACAGCGGGACGGAATGAGAAGACCATTGAGGCCCGATATCCGGTCAGACAGATCGCGACCAGGGTGCTTAACACCACTGAAGCCAATCAGCAGTAAAAACAGATTGCCTAGTCTAACTGCATGAAATCCGGCCATACAATAAATCAACGTAAGCTTATCCACGATTTTTGCTCGGGACCGAAACCAGCAGGATAATGAAATGCACGGAAGGCAAGCAGCAAGTTTGAAGAGAAAAACAACCACCAAGATTGTTTCGCTGGGCACTGATGTGTTATCCAGTTCAAAAGAAACGGGAAATGGTACAGTTCCACTTGGTGAAAACGTGCAAGCATTTATAGGTTCTACATAAAAGATAACTGCACAATAAAGTGATCAGAAACCCGAAATCTAGACAGAAAGATCACATCGGATGTGAGAGTGCCGGTTAGTGCAGCTGCACTCATCTGCGAATCACAAACAACATCCATCGTTAGAGCTTGATGGAACACGTGCAGCACGTAGTGTGGTTGACGCACAACTCACCATGATTCCATGTTCATTTTAATTACAAAACAGACATACGGTTGTCATAGTGACCATTAAAAAACAAATAAACTAAGTAGGTTACAGCAGGCTGGGTTACAAATGCCAAGATTGTGTATTACAAAGCAACCTTTAAATAGAAGCAGATAAACCAAATCTGACGTGAAGTATGCTCTGTACTTTCTGTATAACGCGTTCAGTGGATGCAGAATCGCACAGCAATTGCGTGCAACGGATCAATTCGAGCACCAAAGCACACACATCTCTACAACAAATGACACGTTGCGAGAAAGCACGAGTTATGTGTCATGACACTTATCATATCAACGCCAAGTGTTTCAACTGATGCGAGTCACTGAACCAATAAAGCGAACATACAGAACGACCCGAAGAAACCAATATCGTGTCAAAAAGCTATGATAGCCTGATAAGACATACGCGAAAGGTTGACCTTATCGGAATGTCAAGATACATATAGATTTTATGACCACGTACACGTGAGTGGAACGCGATTCGAATTTGAATGATGACGTATCAATCTATTTGATGCCTAATATTGAAAATTCACCGGGAACGATTGTTCCGCATGCATCGGAATACGTCCACACAAAATGAACACGGATTACTCCCTGTTCACAATGGGCACGAAGCTTACTCGGCTACGTATGCTTGCACAAATGTCCAACACAAATCGACAGTGTTTAAGATCACTCAATTGGCCAGAGTGATCCACTTTGTACTTAGCCGGTGAATCAAAATCATGATCAGTTAGGAAGCAGAACTGCAATTCTAGTAACCAAAATTTGCAATTAAGTTGCCCATTTCGTAACAGTTGAATAATGGGAGGAGGGGTAAATAAAAGACGGAAGGACGAGACCAACATGGCCGGGAAAACTGGGTTCACGGAAAGCGACCAAAATTGCAAATAAATCAGTGACTACCAGAAATTTCAAGTTTCAGTTTCAGTTTGTACAACCATTAACCACGCATATTCGTGCGCCGGTTTCGGTTGCTGTCTTTTGGCTGCCCATTCGGATGAAGAATAGGAGAAGACGGAAAAGTTGAAGGTAGAATAGAACAGAAAGTGGAGAATTTCAGTGGTCTAATATTGCAAAGAAATTGGGGAGATGCACGAACGCCAGTTTACGACACCCAGCCATATCAATCAGTGTCTCTAACCATCGGTGACCATCATCCCGAGGTCCCCAGCCAGGGAGCCTAACGAGACTTATGTGACCCAGCCCCTTGGTCAGGGTTTTCATACCCTCGGGCCACGTCTTAGCTTGACCACCCTTGGCTTTATTGCACCCACTACCTGTCTTGGTGAACATCGCTCGCCGTGGCAACCTATCTGACATGCGTAAAACATGACCCAACCAACGTAATCTATGGAGGTCGACTACTTACTCCAGTGGGGGAAAGCGGTTACCTAAAACTCTGCGCCTGACGTCAGCATTGTTCATCCGGCTGCCCACCAGATTCGTGCAATACTGTGTAGACAGCAATGTTCCTAATTAGACGGAAAAGATTGCGACTGCTATCGATAGCCGCAGCCTTCTCTATCTCTTTATACTTCTCTACCCACCACTTCTCGCGGTCATTCCTCAAACTCTTAATGAGCTGGCGTTTAAGGGATTTGCGCGCTGTCATATGTGACATCCGGAGGGAGAGTTCTGCGGGCGTCCGGCAGGGCAGCCGAGGTTGACGAGATCCCTCGTGTGGTTTGAACCTGTGCCAGGGACCGACTTTGTTTTTTTAATGATATTTGCATAGCATCCTTGATTTGCTTTCAACGTTAACTGAGTCCTTCGACTGGCTTCAAGTACTTAGGTTCAACGAAACCGACTCCAAAAGCTCTTCGTTTATGGGCAAGAAACGGTGATGAAAAAGAGAAAAAGCTTTTATACAAAGATTTACAGGAGGGCAAGAGATGATAAACGGGTGAGTGAGACATTCTGAAAGAGCATCACCTAGATTCGATGAGTCACGATGGATGACGTTATCCGTATGGGAAATGCGGTATCGGATATTGGGCTCAAGAAATCACACAAATAGCACCAAGCGGGGGATTGACGGTTTTGTGAGATACGAAAGCAAGTTCTATGGGAGAAAACGCCTCATCAATAATCTATACGGATTTCTCTTTTTTATGCACGTTCATAATGATAATAGTAATAGGATTATTACATTCTTCAAGGTTATTTGAGGGACTACAAAGTGCCGTTTGCAAATCCGCAAAAGGAGTCATGGGAACCAGCTCAGAGAAATCCCTGTCGCACCAGTCACCGGCTCGACTGAACGATGAGACCGATTGGGTACCCCGGGACTTGGGAACCACATCCCAAAGGCCTATGATCTAACTGACTAGACAACGGTTTTCAATTATGCTGGTTCAGACGGAAAAATCTGGTTGTCGAGTCATTACCAAAGTCATTTGAAGAATAGTGAACGAGAGGCATAGTGATCACAAACAGTCAGGGAAAGGAGATCCTAGCAAAGACAGTTAGGTAATGTAAAACGATTAACCGTGGAGGTGATTTGAAAATGTTTACATAATACCAAGTAAGATAATAGTTCATTCAGATAAAACTAAAAGTAAATTAAAACAGATAAAGAAAGGTAACGCAATAGGGAACCGGTCAACCGAGTGAGGCAAAAGAATTACGCAATACGGAAATAAGAAGGATGAGGTAGGAGAATGACTAATATGAAGAACGGGAGCGAAACCGATGAGCAATATCAATTCTGCTCGTTCTATTAAAATGAATCAAACGCAGATGTTTCCGGTATTGATTGTTTTTGTAACAAATCTGAACTTAGTCAAGTGTGAAATATAATATTCATCTGTTAGGAAATCAGGAACAGCTCAAAACGGAGAATGGTTCATGGGGACGCCAATCCATTTTTACCCACCGTTGTAAACATATATTGGGGTTTTGTGCAATCAAACACCACGGCTGTCTCTCGATTCATTAAAATAAACGGGGAAAATGCATTCATTTCAGTAGCTCCATGGCATTTAAGGTCAGTAATTCACCCACAAAGGTTTTCAAATCAATAAAGGACAAAGATCCCTTTGTCAAATCCCCCTTTAGCATCGTTTAATCTAGACGACGGTCGACCAAAATGCCAAGATGTCTTTCAAATGACGAAACCAAGAGTTATGCAATAAACCATTGGAGTCTTCGTTGTCTGGCATGAAGTGAACCAGTCTGCCCACGATTGTATACAGTAAGCATTTCGAACCGGTTCCGTTCGCAAAGAAGTAGTGCAATTCTTCATAGGTGGGGAATCAAAAACATAATGGAACGGTGATCTGAGTCAAATAAGAAACTTGTTAGTTACCGCAGTCAGTACATCAGTCAATACATCTGGTTGAGACTGTGAACTTCCCGAGAATCTTAGACGGACATTCAACTTGGATCTAAAACGCTTAAAAGCACACCAAATTCCATCCACGGTACTGAGGTCATGAAAATTTTCTATATTTCATACCATCCTACCGTTGCTAACCGAAATTCAACAGGAGAATGACGGATCAAAGCAATCGCTACAAAGATAATTTAGTAACGTTGTTTGCATAACACAAAATCGAAAGATGAAGTTACAACACCAAGTTATCATAACATGAAGGTTTGTCGATTGCTACACTTAATGCAATTGGGGTGACTCTTTTGACCTTTCAAACCACATTTATCACCCACAAGGCAGTAATATGCCTGGCAAAAAGCGCGTCCTATTTCACGTGATTGAAAGTAAGAAACTAAAAATGGGGACGCATGAACTTCAGTGGCCTGAGCGACACGCATACGCGCACACGCAAAAGTACCCACACACCCCAACATGGTGGCTTAGTTACCGCACGTGGTCGTAGTGAAGCTGTGTGCAGCGGAATATTCTGACAGCTACTGTAGATCTCGGGCTCTCCCTCTCTCTCTCTGTTGACAGCTATGAGATGGCGATAATCAATTACCGCTGGCGTGGTAACGTTTTTTTTTCATCTGAGCTAAATAGAGCTAGCACGGAATTCCTTGCGCACAGCCGGGAAAACTAAGAGGGCACAATGTGCACGGCTCGGATGCATATGAGTGTCTCACGCAAATGAAATTCGTGCCCCGGATGATCGTGCACAAAACAAGCAGAGCTAGCTACCAGAGTACACAACCGACCGAGGACGAAAAGACGTGCGCAACAGAGACGTGATACAGACAACATGGATCGGAGATAGCTCCGCCAACATTGACGGAGCAGAAGGGCTTCTTTGTCAAATGAAATTCAGATAGCATTTAATCGTGAGTTTGATTTGCAACACTAGTGTAAACTGGTCTGATGAGGTAGTCGGATCAGTAATGCTTAAGGACGTTCGAAGACAGGATAGGTACCGCCGGGTGCAGCAATATGTCTATTCCTTCGAGGGGGGGGGAGGGGGCACAAATGATAAGCCGATCTAAATCTCACGGTTCAAGTCCTGGTTCCCCAAACACAGGGTCCGGGGAATGATACCGGACCAGTGCAGGTCGTCTAATGATGCGGTCAAACCGTTAAGCTTGCATTTCGGTGTTAACCATAGTCTACAGTGAACCAACTGAGTGAGTGCACAAGACGTAATCACACAAAATGCGATGCATAAGCTTCAATCATCGGTCACTACTAGTTCACTGGGAAACAAGATATCAAAGTGAATCCAACTGGCCCACAAAAAGAACGAAACGATGCCGGGTGTAATACACACGAGTCATATGTGAGTTGGGGATCATGTGGTATAACCGAGTGAATTCGTTTAGAGAAATGAGAGGGGAAAGCAGCGTGAACAGAAAACCGTGATAGCAAAATAAGTTGGATTATTCCACCAAAACCATGTAAATCAATAAGGGGATAGGGAAATTACCAGACAATTTCACAAACAAGTCCATCAAAATTCCCACAAAGTGAAAAAACACAAGGAGAAGGGTTGGGGAGGGGGGGGCGTGAAGCGGGAGCACTGATATCTCGAATAGACTGATTTTGCACATACCTTGGTCCATGTACCGATATCTCCGGTGCGTAGGAATCCACCAGGTTCGTACAGTTCACGCGTATTGGCTTCATCCTTGTAGTAGCCCTTAGTGCACGCTTCACCTTTGACGCAAATCTGAGGAGGACAACAAGAGCGGCAAATAACAGTCGGTTGATTGCAAAATAACTATTAATAATAATAAAATAATAATAATAATAATAATTATTATTATTATTATCTAAGAGGTCCAAGTTTATCGATGGTGAGATTTTATGAAAACGGTATTGCGTCCATTCACATAATCAGTGTCATTGTAATTGAACAAAATACAAGGAGTACCTGTGAGGGATTCGCTGAGTGCTGAAATTGTGTTGCTTGTTAGCCGTAAAGCTTAGAGGTGGAGGATTTAGATTCCCAACCCAGAAGGCTGACTATTTGAGTCCCAACAGATGCGGACATGAAAAAGGAGTGGGAAATCAGTTTGCAGCTAAGACAGCAGCAGTGGAATGCGATGCACGCCTTTAATTTAAATGCGTTGTTCACAGACGCAGGATAATACTACTGGGAGTAACACCAAACAACACGGTAACGAAAAAGTGGAGTAGGACTTGACACGTTTTCGCGCGATCAACGAAGTAGCATGGAAATCGAACTCCCAAATCAGACCACGAACACAATAGTACGGATGTATTACAATGAGGCGGTGATAAATAAGGATAAACACATTGTGATTGATTTGATCCGGGATTTCGCAAATATCAGTCGAGAGCATAGCTACAGGCTTAGCACATTGTGATTTGTCAGATACGTTTGGTAGAGCAGCGGTCAGTGAATTACAACTTCACCTTATATCTCAAATCCATTTTACGACCTTCGGTAGGTCAGTTATCTGGCTCGACAAACAAGATGGGGCAAAACCAATCAATAATCTAATTACAGGAAAACAGGTCAGTGACAAAGTCGGACCGGATGAAAAGAACAGATGATGGGCAAGATGCAAACGTAAGAGCGGTGGATGTGTAAAAAAAGACGGCAGGGGAGCGGGTTTGGTACACAACATGGACTTACCTCACCCAAACCGTCTCGTTTTACGTACAAATCCATTTCGGGGACATCGATCAATTTGACTTGCAAACCGAGATGTGGAGTTCCCGTGCGCCCAGGCTCCATCTCGCCGAGCAGAGTTGCACTCAGAATACCACCCATCTCGGTAAGACCATAAACCTCGATGACCTGCAACAAGAAGGGCCAAATGAAGGTGAAAATAGGTAACTGATTATATCTAGTCAACACAGTTTCACGGACGGAGGCGACGAGGAAACTGACAACGGCCCAAAGTTTTTTTCACACAACTATTGATCTTCAACATGTCTGTCTGCCTCGTGTAGGTGAGCGTATGTGTGACTGCGCGGTGAAGACTGGAACAACGTAAGATGGAGCCAACCTACTATTAACCCGTCAATGATTGAATGGGAGAATTGAAAATGAATGACTCGTAAACCGGGCGTGCGGAGAGTAGCGCAATGCATCGGGCAAAATAAATAACGATCAAAAATTGTGGAATTTCCTGGGCTGGTTCACAGAAAATATTACATCCCAGTACGACATTTAAGTGATTATAGAGTATTAGATGGTCAGTGAGCTATTCGATGAGCACGAATGATTAGTAGTAGTGATTTGGAAAAATTAAGCCGTATCGGTTTACAGTTCAGTAGATAGTGATACAGTCAGTGGAACGATGCGAGATAGATGTATCATAACCTGAATTTCACGTTCATTCATTTTATTACACACGTTTGTATAATGAACAATTGACGAGAAAGCCCCATGATCATGAATAACTGCCGTTCAGAGATGGAAACCGGCAATCTAAGCTCCAGGACTTGGAGTGGCGAACCACATGAGGGCTGATTGATAGGACGGAACAATGAATTAGAAATATCAACTCATCATCATCATCATCATCACTGTACAGCGTAATACAGTGAAGCGAACTTTACTGACCAGTACCAAACTCAATCTATACAAGGTAGGTGAGAATGTATAATGAGGATAGGGGTTGGACTTAATTTAACCGACGAGAAAAGAAAGCGAAACTCTATGGTCAAGGGTCTTTCAGCATCCGGAAGGGAAGCTACGCCAAAAGGTGTTTATTCGTCATTTCAGCGTAGGCACTGACCAACTGCAGTTCAGACGGACAAAAGGACGAGTTTTATAGTAAACTCACCGAGCTCATTCGGTTGAGCCGAAGCTCCGATGTAGTTGTTCTCTCAGGTGATTTTAAAGCTGAAGTTGGAAAACTGAGCGCATCAGAAGCTTGCCTGGGGGTCAGTGTGCTCTGCCTTGCTAGCGAACAGATAATGGCGATCGACTTCTTCAGTTCTGCGCAGATCATCATCTGTTCCTATCCAGCACCAACTTCCGACACAGCTCTCAACTTGCTCGAAGTACACTAAAGTTCATTTTAAAAAATTCAATTCCTCACATCTCGTCTGCGATGCCCGAGGAAGTGGTGGGTTTTGGCTTGACGAACCTCCCTGGTGGAAAAGGCCACATAACTAATGACTGCATATTGACTGCGCCAGAAATAAGGCTATTGTTTCCAGTCCCGTTTCATCTACTCGAGAAGGTCTTTCACAGGAGACAAATGAATCAAACTACTTGCTATGGATTTGTTTCACATAACCCAAGTGGCTTGCACTTTATCATTGAATGTGAAGCGGCTAGGGATACAAATGAAAACAAAAGCCCAACGGAAAGTTTTTCCTATTTCATCCTGAAATTCCGTCACCATCATGCAACAGTAGAAATATCGAACTTGGCACAGAGTGCATAGATCTACTTGAATTATTATGATTGAGGGCAAATAATCACCCAATCGATCACTTTTTTAAAACCAGAATTCACTATACACCGTCCACGGCTGTAGTGACAAAAAGGATTCATAGCATGAAACAAAGAAACTGAGAAAGAATGGAAAACGAACTTCAAGATAATTTGAATAGTGAAGTATTTAAAACATCATAGACAAATCTGACGGATTAAATTAAAGTAAGCATATCTTCAATTGTGCAGGAATGAAATCAAGTTGTACAGACACAAACAGCAGTGACACTCACAGGACAGGAGAAAGCGGCACGCGTGAAATTCATAACTTCGTTTGAAAGTGGCGCGCTGGCGGAAACTATTGTCCTTATGTTCCCACCCACTTTATCTCGAACTGGTTTGAAAAACAAACGGTCTAGCAAACCGGAATGTCGATATACCCCTCTGAAACGAGAACAAGTATAGATGAGATGAATGAAACAATGTAAGTGAAACCAAAAACATTTGGGGCGAACGACCGATGAAACGATTCGGGATTACATGCCAATTACATATCATAAAACGATCAACGTACAACTGGGATCGGTCTCATTACAACACAGAAAGAGCATGAACAATCAGGGAGCTGGAAATGAGAGAGCAATGGGTCACTGACGTGCACTGAACGAATGTGGATCTAACTATAATGTCTCGTTCTCGAATTAAACTTAAAATCTCTTAAATTGTTTTGATGGTTTAGCAGTTCTCTATTACAGGCTGTGAAAAGAAACTTGAAGTAGTAGCGCCGTGAGCGGACTTATTTAACCAATGTATCCGTTCCGGGTTAAGTAGTGTTACAGTCCCATCAATCCAGGCCTATTCATTCTCCTCTAAGGGCTTATTTCACTCAACAACAGTTGTCCCCAGCACTTTGGACAGTTTCGCTTTACGAGCAGTCAGGCAACCAGTGTTTGACGGTGAGTAATCGTACAACCGAACAACTATCACTTCGCGTCTATCGCACAGGCCATGGTGTTGACCAGTTTGTAGATGCTTCCCTGGGTGTGCTTACGTGCGCTAATAGTAACACTCGATTACAAAATGGACTGCTGTGGTTTTAGTCCTTTAATTTAAAAGAACCAGTGCGTTGTTCTGCAACATCACCCTTGTAAAGTATCGGTCAACTGTATTAAGTGGGCTCACGCGATTGCCTCCAAAAAATCTCAGTGCTATTTGTGTTGTATTTAGTGCGCAGATGAGCATAAGTGTGAGTGGATCGAAGGGAAACTGTGCACGTGCTTGTGTATCTTAGCTGAATGAAATCTATCCAACAATCGGCAGTGATCGGTTGTAATTTCGACCACCGATTACATTTGAAGCAAAACGACTGGGGCTCACACTTCAACCTGTTCAGAACCTGACTATTTCAGGAACCTAGATTTGCAGACCCCGAAACTCGACCAGTTATTTCGTCTCACAAAATTCAAAAGTAAACTATGCCAGAAAATTGTGGTGCTTCTTGTGATCACGCCTTTGCAAGCTACTTATTGAAAAACAAGCGGAATGTTGACCTTGCAAACAGTAAGCAAAGGTGAACAACTAACTCAAACATAGGATACAATTGAAGTCAGTCGGGAGATGACAAAATATAGTCTCTCAGGTAAGATGCAAATGTAATTTGTCTGTATACACGTAAATTAGGGAATGCGCACAAGATGAACTACACACAAATCAATGATGCACTTGCCCTCATTGGCTCTTTGTTACTGTATCCAGTCTTTCATGGGGTCAAGCCCACGAGATTTGAAATGTGTAAGCCTTGGTAATACGTTTTCCCATTGTGTATCTGACTTCGAAATGCACAATGAGACCGAATGTATATACCCACTAGTGCTTAGAGCAGATAAAATATATTGTCAATCAAGTGGTTTTTAGGCGCTAATCGTGTCAGCATTCAACCATGAAATTCTCTGTGATCATGAGGATATTGAGGAATCTTTTGGGCTAAAAGCTACCACACTTCGTATGAAAAATGACATGGTGAATTAGCCCAACATCTTCTAGAACTGTCTTTATAGACGCGTTTGTGATTTCTCGGATGAGTTTTGCTACTTCGATTCTAATCAAGTGGGCTCTGTTGTACATACTGTGTGACTGCTAGAGCAGATCTCAGATCCTCAAGGCACTAAGAAACCGTAATGTTGTTGGTGATAAGATAAATTACCATGGGATTTCTTTCAGACAGCCCAGAGCGGTACTACCATGACATCTATCAGAATACCTCAGATTTATTCCGTGACCAAATGCGAACGATTAGGATTGATTGGAGATATCACGAATTCGATAACTGCAGTTAAGACGAGCAGAACAATGTTCACTGTTTGCACTTATTCGAAACAACGAGACCCACATTTTTCGGCAGGGGGATATACGGGTAAAAGAAGTCACATGATGAATGAATCCCATTGGCCCTAACTGTGGGGCTAATGATTGTCAGTCAATCGTGTTGAGGTAACTGGTAATATTCAGCTGGGGAAAAACAATTAGAAGGTAACGTACTGAGCTTGCTCGGCCAACTTCTGTGCCACCGCCTGGTGATAGAGCAAGTGTAACAGTTTCGATCGTCCCAAGCGTTGCATGACCTGTGCGTGTATACGCATCAGAATGCGTGGCACTGTACTGAAATAGTGTGGTCGGTAGTCTTGCATGTCTTGAACCAGTCCACTTGCATCTTTTGTGATAAATCCAACGCGGCCACCGGAGGAGAGGAAAGTGCACTGACAAGAAACATAAGTAATCGGTGAATGGTGGGACGGATTGAAGCATCGTGAGGATGTGACATGGTAAGTAATCACTAAGTTGGCTCGATATTACCTACCTTTTTCGTATCACACCTCATAGTGTGCGGTAAATAACATAATAAAAAAGCTAGTTAAACGGATTTATTTAAAGGCCGGTGACCAGTTACATCATCATCATCATCATAATCAAGATTGTGGAGTGAGATACAGAGAAGATAAAGTTCACCGACCAATGAAAAGGTCGGTACGTGAACAAAACAAACACCAAGACGGATAGAGATAGCGGGGGGGGGCGGGAGGAAGAAAAATGAACCCATATGGCCAAGATGTAGAGTACACAGAGCTAACTGTGCACACAAACTTGCTCAAACATTCAGACGCACTAAGGAGCACGCATTCCAGGCAATGCATTCAGCGGTGAATAATCCAGTCAAACGAGAGTTTTCACATGGCGGTATTGGACGGTTGAGTGGAGGTCCCGATGGAGACGAATTAGAAGTGAGCAACTGTTGACAGTAAGAAAGCTGAAGACAGTGCATTGTGTCGATTACATGTATGCGACCCACCCAACCCCACCAACAGCAGCAGTAACGGAGAAAAACAAACAAACAAACAAAAGAGTCTGCATACTGAGTGACTGAAAGGTGGATTGGAATCCGCCAAACAGTGCCATGAGTTGTCGTACTGATGCATACAGTTTGAACAGTACATCATGAAACCAGGAACCAAAAGTGCGAACATAAGAGCGGTTGTAATTGAGAGTTGAGGTGGATCTACGGAATTTTGGAATAGATCCCTGAAATCCACTACGCTAATGGTGAATCGAACTAGTATCTGCATTCGACATGGTAACGCCAGAAATCCAAGAATATATAGTAATTAGTACCGATTAGATAGAGATTCGCCACAATACGTTTAGCGCAGGGCAGAAACCTTGATTCGAATGGCAGATTGTGGCGGTACATTTCCTCCTAACATGTTCATTCTTAGATTCATTAACAAATAACTTATGTCAATCCAGCCGGGCGAGGTAAAACCAGTGGGCGCATTATCCTCCTCCTCCTCCTCCTCCTCATCATCATCATCACCGATGAAACTCCATGCGAAGGGAACAGTGTACCTAATCATCTATCAGAAACCACGGGCGAAAGAGTCTACGATATGCTAGTTGGTTCAGAACATACGCGCACACAAACAGGCCACATTTTGTTCTGGCGTCGCACAGGAGAGATTATCATGTACCGGCATGCTGAAGCGAGGTTTTGTCACCGGGGGTCACCCCTATAGTGAAAACATGACAATACCGGTCTTAGAACGTAGTTTGTACACCAAACGCACGACTCATACGTGCCAGGTGTACGCTAAGCATCAATATCACATACACACACACACTGTTGAAATCAGCCAAAAAACGCATGTGGCACAGATCAGTGCATCGTGGTAGCCAAATCGGTTAGACAGGTAATGAAAGAAGAACGATCAAACCAGTGGATATTTCCGGAGAAAGAATAAGCGTATTTTTTCTCATCTAGTACAGAAATACACATTTTTGGGATCGTTTGGCATTACAGTGGTTTTCCCATAGAAAGTTAATGAAAGATTGCGAGCGCGTCCCCGTGCATCGGACTGACAAGGAGTGAACAACTTACCACATTGATCCGTTCGTAACAGTGAGCCAACGGCAAGTAGGAAAAGTGGACATGTTGATCAGGTCCCAATTTCTGTGTGCGCACACCGTTCGAATCGATCGGACCGAAGATTGGCATTAGATCGGGGTTCAACAAAACAAATGAGAAACAAAGCGGGGAGAGGGAGGGAGATTGAGCGTCAATAGAGAAATAAACAGCTCCACATGGCGACTCAATAACTCTCGGTCCAAATGAAAGACACTGAGCACACCGGCACGGAATGAAATTACCCCTGTTTAGCACACGGATGATGGCAAGGTCCCAGAGTGACGCAAATTACTTCACAGCGCACACACACTTGACTTTCGCACGTGTTTGCATTCTACCAGCATAGATCAATAATATTAGGGTGTGAATGTTTTACAAAGTAAAATTGCTGATCTACTCACGAAACAGACAGTTGGACAGGTCTACTGCTAATGGACTCAGAATGAAGTATTTGGGGTTATGATTCACGTAAATTCACTCCTATTGCAACGAAGTGAGTGGATTTCTAAAAAGGATTTGTATTTGTTCATCCCACCTCCACTCGTTCCTCCGAAATGATAACCGTGTCCTGAGAGAAGATGGGATCAGATCAAGCCCGTGAATGACCTTAGAGAACTCTATCGCCTCCAGTGAACAGGGAAAAAAGCAACATGCACGTTACATATGCCACGATACCCACAGCCAACAGCAATCAGCTGTGAGTGACGCAAAACGGTAGCGGTAAAGGAATACCCGCTGGAGGAATGCTTCCCACTTAACACAAAACCAGTTGTTTATATGGTGGTGACGGAAAGTGCTAGTCCAGTGGGAGCAAAGATACCGAGTTGTTCAACTTCGCTGTCGGTTGGATTCTGTGTCGGGCAATGGAGGGTTACCAAGGCGTCCAAGTTTCCACCGATTGCTGGATTACTGACCTCAAATTCGCCGATGACGTGGTAGTGCGTCGAAAGGACATGACCGCCTTACAAACAGCTCTCAAAAGATTTTTCTCTGAGATCGGTCGTGAGATTAATCCTAACAATGTAGCGAAGACACGGGAGCAGCCATTTTGATTGTGTGAGTCGTGTACATGTCTCACTGGACCTTTTGGTTCATGGTTGCTTTTTGTATTTTACCTGTCTTGCAGGTCGTTTGGAAGCCCCCTCCTACCTCTAACCCACTGTGAGAAGTGTCCTGCCTGTGTATTGAGAGCGTCAGTGAGCGGCCAGGGATTGTGCGGCCTTTTGTGAAGACGCTAATTGTATAAGAACACGGACTGTGTTGCCAGGAATCAATCTGCCAGTATATTTCGAGTGGATTCAGAACTGGGGTCGGTCCTGCATACTACAACAGAAATAAGATGTTCGCTGCTCCACCTGATCAAGCGGAACATTCCCTGTAACTAGTTGATCGGACAATAGAAATCGTATCGGACTTCAGGTACCTTCGGGTCCACCATCCTACCCAATGGATAAACCGAAGATGATGTAAAGCGGAGCATCGATGTGGCTTGAAAGGCGTTTCTGCAGCTTCGAACCACCCTACGGCGCCGGAACGAGATCAGTCTCAAAACCAAGCTCAGGGTGTTTGCCACAGCAGTTCGACCAGTCTTACTATACGGCTGCGAAACCTGGCCGCTAAGAGCAGAGTACATTCGACGATTGGAGATGTTTGATCACTGGTGTCTTAATTTCATCCTGAAAGTAAACTGGCGGGACAGAGTTTCAAAATCGGACCTCAGAAATCGATGCCACGTTGCCCGTCTTCCAACACCGCCGACTACAATGGCTCGCCCATGTTCTCTGCAGACCCACAACGCTTTTACAAGTATTGTCTTGGCTCCGTCACCTTGTTCTGGTTGGCGACGCCGACAACGGGGCAAGTAAAAAATGGCTAGACACTGTATTCGTAAGCATCGACCAACTTGGCCTTCGAATGATGTACGGCACCCGCCGACGGAAAAACAACTGGATCAACATTTGCAAGGATCTTGCAGCCAACCGCCAAGCATGAACAGCAGCAATCAGAGACATTCATGAAGCCGGCTTATCTTTTCCAAAGAGCCAGTCGTAGTAAAGTAGAATAAAGAAAGGTACCGCGGTCTGTGAACAATCAACCGACCGTCGTGTTCATGTGAATGGAGAGGACGCAGTGAATCTGTCCGTCTGTTAATTGCTGGTACACAGAATTCGAAAACTGTTCAACAGTTGCACTCATCATCGTCAAGTGAGCAGAATAGGCCAGCGATACAGTAACTGTTTCGTGTCTGAGGACGTTGATGTATACCATAGACGTGCATGATTCAGATAACACAGCTATCTGGTCTTGAACGAGTCAGTTTAAAGAACTGACTTGAGGTGGCCAAGGCTAGACCAACGTCTCTGTGCAGATAAATGATATGAACAAAACAGGCTATTAATAACTTTTGTTTTATATAGAAGAATGCGTATATTTATCTGACTGCACAAAGACAAAGTTGATTCTCGCCCCTGGGTTATTATTCACAGCAAAGTGGCAAGTCGAACACCCAACAGAAAAGAATCCGGTGCTGGGTAGAACAGGATCAGTGTTACATGATGAACTGTAATGGACAGGTAAACCTGGTAAACCTATATGATAGCAAGCAACGCAATAAAATATTGTGTGACAGACAACCAAACTCCGATCAAACAGTTACATGGTGCTAAGGGTACCCTTAAAATGTACTCAACTTGTTCCAAGGACCATAATTATGAAATTGCCAAACAAAGACTATGAAAGAAAGATGCGGAAGACAGTACTTTGAGGTTATACGGTAACTACCGGTCTTGTTCTTGCACTACACACCATGACGTGGTGAACAATGAAAGTTAATTCTATGACCAGGATAACCAGCAATTAAGATTTGGAGTGATGAACCACCTAAGGTCCCATGATGAGGGTTTTCATTCGTACCGAATTTCGATGACACTATTACCGATCGATTAAGCCGGTTCATGCACTCGCATTAGACGACCGGAGTATGGAAAGTTATGACGCGACTGTTTCGGTGAGATTTTATCTTGCAAAAGAAATGAAGCCAATTATTTTTTCGCTTTAGGGAATAGAAGCAAATCGTTGTGAACAACGACTGTGATTTAAGTGGAGCATACTTAAAAGTCTAACGAAAACGGTAATGATATTGGAAAGTAAAAGAAATAATTTTCAGCTAGAGTAGTGATTTCGTACGAGAAAATCCATTTCTCAACAAATTCATCATTCATCTGCGTCAGAGAAGTGACAAAAAAGGCACGAGATAAATACACATTCGGCCGAAGACCGTTTCCTGGTTGATGAACCGAGACAAATGAAGCCAATACATAAGCGCACGGATGAAAAACCTGTCTTCTCAGACTGGATGAAGGATTATTGGTGGACTAACTCAACAGCAAGCGCTTCAGTCACTGCCACGTAAGTGGAATCAACGATCAGCAAAAGTATGGGACAAAAGTCGGTCATGGAACGAATCAATATCAAACGAGCCGCTTTTTACAGCCTTCACACATAAAACGTTTTAAGACCATTCAAAAAAAATATACTGACATTAGAATGTGCAGTGGAGAGTTCAAAACAAGAGTACTGCTCTATTCCAGCGGGAAGTTTTGTGGTTTGTCACTCCAAGTCCCGAGGCTTAGGCTATCGGTTCCAATAACTGAACACGTTTTTGTGACTATGCAGTCTACCCGTCTGCTGCTCAAAAATTAGCACACTTGTTCATGAAGTTGCTGTACTCAGGGCATGATCAAAATGTGGAAACGGTGAAAAAGCGAAAAGGCGCATTGCACGGTTAGAGCATTTACATGCCATTGTATGAAACAAGTCGGCGATCGAACATCTACAGGCAAATCAGGATAGTGTTCGATGTAGTAGTCGGCGCGACAATCAGAAGTCAATCGATTGAGGTCGATGTGATGCAAATCAGCTGGTTATCGACCGTCGTTACGCTGAGGATTTTAGATTGATTGGAGTGCACTGTGTTACATGAGGTAGAACTAATTTAGTCCAGTTTTTATCTAAAAGCGCATTCTGCCAACGATTATTTGGCCTCATCGTGATCTGACTCAGTGATGGAGGCCATGGAAACGGTGCCATGCGAAGATTATTTTGTGAGACATGTGATTTTCTCGGACCATATTTCACATCATCTATTCTTTTCAATCACAAAAGTAGAAGAAAACCAGCTTTGTTCTACAAACGGACATTTTACTGATATCTCAATAAAGACACCAATAAGAGTAGAGTGAAGTATGTAGGATTAGAGAGACGGATATTGAAAACACTTTTTGATTCCTGTAAGTGGTTTAAAATAAGAGTCCCAAATTAGCAATTAATTCTTCCGTTATCAGTGAGCCAACTTTTTCTAACATCCGTCAATGGGCGTTTTCAATCGGACGAAAGTTATTGATTCTATTGCGAAAGTTCAACTGTACAACATATCATCGTCGAAGACAACCATCTTTTGGCACAGAACACGATCTAATCCACTATAGTTCCATCATTTGGTGGTCGTCATCGAGTATAGTTTGCAACCAGTAGAATAAATCGACCGACAACGTTTTACAGCTTGTATTGCTGATTCGTGATTGCCTGAACAGGAATGATCCTCGTTGCAAACAGTCCCTACTGTCATTCAACAGAGACGAGAATCTAGGCAATCCCGTGTTGAACCAAAATCAAATATTTCGCTATTCTACTAGTGCATGGTTTTTCTCAATCTACGCATAAACAAGAACCCGTGTGCAAAATCAGAAACGTGTACTTCTACGCACTGAGGCTGAGAACCTCGAGTGCATACATGCGTTGTTCAAAGTTGTAGGCTTCCTTCCACGAAGGCTAGATTCACCAAATAGGATTGCAGACGAAACAGTTTCTAACAGTGCTGTTGTTGTGGTCTTGGTCGTAGCAACTACATTGAACGGGCAAACTGGTCTGTTAAATCGCTTCACAGAACTAGCATCCGTGTCTTATTTTTTCGGAGCTATTGTTTGCCGCGAAATATGTCATGAATGTAGTCAAAAACGAAGTGATTGATGGAGTAGTGTTGAAAAGGAATGCGAAACTGGATTTCGCTCGATTTGGCTAAAGATTATAATGAACGAGTACGAGGCGACTGTTCTGTTATTGAAATCACCATGACCGGAAGATGTGGTAAAGTAGAAACAATGCGGGATATTTGAATGAATACAGTGAGGGGGGCACATACGGTTCATTAGAGAAAAACGCAACAGCTTTCAAAAACATTATTAAAATCAATATGTTTTGTGGTGAACAGAAAACCACCATTATTCTCGAATCAGTTTCAGTCTTTCGTGCGCCCGTTTTGGTTGCTGTCTTTTGGTGCCTCATTTGAATAAAAGAGCAGAAAGAAGATTGGAACGTTAAAAGCAAATCCAAGCGGAAGATGGAGAATTCAAATAGAATGGTGTTAGGGGAATAATGAGTGGATGCACGAGCGCCACTGTTTGCGACACCCAACCATATCACGGTGACTATCATCCCGAGGTCCCCAGACAGGGAGTCTAACGGGGCCTATGTGACCTAGTCTCCTGGTTAGGGTTTTCATACCCTCATGCCAGGTCTTCGTTTGACCACCTTTGACCCTTTTTCAACCGCTATCTGCCTCGGCAAACATCGCTCGCCGTGGCAACCTATTTGGTGGCATGCGTTAAACATGCCCCAACCAACGTAATCTATGTTATTCTCGAATAGCAACATATTGATACACAGTTGAGCCACATTTGGATGATAAAGTCATGCTTAACCACCTGTTAGTATCTTGTGGCATACAGTTATCCTAGAACCGAGCCTTCAACTCCCTTAGATAGCTGCATACCCGAATCCGATCCATTTTGCTGACAGGTTTCTACCGTTTGAAAAACCCTGCCTCGCATCTGCAAAGGGAACCAAAACTGAAAGGAAAGGACTGAAATGGACTCACTGAGGTAGTCACGGGACGGTGGTGCGCATAGAATGCGCTTACAACAAGGGAGCAATGTGCATGATCAGTGCCGTTCTGGTAACCTGACCCGGTAGTTATGCTAAACAGGAATCATAAACTTCGAGCCCTTTGTATGCAAGTAACGAAACGTCACACACCGTACGACTTCAAACGGAAAGAAACGCGTTTAAAACAGCGTGATTAGTCGTGTCCGGAAAAAAATATCATAACAAATGGTGCTTTGACATAATACTGTCCAATTTATTGCCCTATGACCAACCAGCAGCGAGTTGAGCAAACAAATTCGTTAAACTTGATACATGGTTATTATGATCGACCGTGCAACGACCGGTTGGTGGATATTGAGCCATAAATCATGCGTCAAAAGGGTAGAATCTAAAACTGATTTGTTCGCAAACTCCGATCGATGGACGTGAAGCGACGCTCGGTTTCACACAACACGTGGGATTCAAGGTTAACCAAACAGGTTAATAGGAACGTTTGGCTAATCGAACGGACGCTAAGCGTACGACGTGTAACCTTAGGATGACTCATCAATCACACCACACAGCATACACCTATCTGGAAGAAACACACACACACACACACACTTTCTGAAGCAAGCACAATTTGGATTACCCACTAGGTGACGTGAATCAACTGCCACACACCT